GCGCAGGAGACCAATGCCGACGAAGTGTATGGTTTCGAGTTGCGTGACGTTAGCATCGATACTGCGCTTCGCGTACCTGATACGGAGAAGGGTATTGAAGTCATGACGCAGCTACACAATCGTCGTACTGGAACACGAGCCGCGCCGTCGTCCACGCTTTACGAGTTTGTTGTCTCTTCGTGGAGTGAGGAGATGAACTCTTGGAGTGCTCATGCTCGTGGCCTCGTCTCCGTCGTCTTCAAAGCCTTCTCTCCGTCGATGGAGCGTGAACTGGCGCTTGAAAACGAGCGCTACATGTTGTCACTTTCCAACGCTAGAGATATCTGCCAGAAGCCGGCACGAAGCTTCTTATACGACACAGTCGAGACGATCGGCATGCAATACGGACCGACCTTCCGCAACATGACTGAGCTGTATGCTGGTCCTAGCTCCAGCTATGGCATCATCAAGGTACCTGATACCAAGGCAGTCATGCCTAAGGGCTTCGAATACCCCTATGTCGTTCACCCTGCCACGCTGGACTCGGTCCTTCATCTTGTCTTTCCCAGTATATCTGGCGACGATCAAGCACTGAACGAGGCGGTCGTTCCCAGATCTTTTGATCGCATCTTCGTTTCAGCCAGGATCCCAAGCACCGCTGGTTCAGAGCTACATGGCTGCTCTTCCGCGAAGAAGCTGAGCTACACAACCTGGACTTCCAGCATCACGATGTCCGAGGCAACCATGACCGACCCTGTCGTCATCATGGAAGGCGTTGTACTGGCATCTGTTGGTGCAACCGAGAACGCATCGAAACAGCTTGAGACGCGTGCGTCTTGTTTCGCGCAAAACTGGCACGTGGATGCTGATCTCTTGTCGCCTTCTCAGATCAAAGAACTCGTCTACAAGCGCACATTGAAGAGTAGAGACGACGATTCAGTGCTTGATCTGCTCGAGTTCGTCTGCCTTGTATACATCTATCGCTGCCTTGACTGGTTCCAGAGCGAAGCAGGCAAGGCACATGTTCCGCAGGACGGCTTCTGGAAGTCGTACGTGGAGTGGATGCATGACACCGTGAAGCAATTTCCTCCGCTTCCTGAAGATGTCGAGACCGAGATGCAGGCAGCCCGGAAACGCATCATCAAGTCGGAGAGCGGCGACATCACGGTGCAGATGGTGGACCGCATTGGGCAGAATCTTTCTCGCATCTTTACACGCGAGGTCGAAGCTCTGCAATGTATGACTGAGGGCGATCTTCTTTACTCCTTCTACCGTGGCGCTTTCGGCACAAGTTTCAACACCAACGTGGCAGAGTACGTCGGTCTGATCGCTGACAAGCAACCTGGATTGCGCATCCTGGAAATCGGCGCCGGAACGGGTGGTACTACATACCATGTCTTGGAGCGCTTGCGCAACTCCGATGGCAGCTCCAAGGCCGCTCAGTATTACTTCACGGACATCTCTCCTGGTTTCCTTGCTAAGGCGGCAGACCGATTCGACAACGATGCATCCATCATGCAGTTCGGCACGCTCAATATCGAGAACTCACCTACGGAGCAAGGGTTCAGTCCTGAGTCCTTTGACCTCATTGTTTGCGCCAATGTACTTCACGCGACGAAGAGCATCCAGGAGACACTAGCGCACTGCAAGATGCTGCTGAAGCCAGGTGGCCGTCTTGTCTTGTCCGAGGTGACCATCAAGCGTATCTTCTCCGGGTTCATCATGGGGCCGTTGCCCGGCTGGTGGCTAGGAGAAGCGGACGGTAGGAAGGGAGGTCCACTCTTGGATGCTGAAGAGTGGAACGTCGCATTGAAGTTGGCCGGATTCTCGGGTGTTGATGTCGATATCCGTGGTGATCGAGAAACTTCCAAAGAGCCTGTCTCGCTGCTCATTTCGACCAAGCCCGAGACTACAAGTCCTAGCCTGCCTCCTTGCTTGGTCATCACCACTGGGACTGAAGCGACGGGCAGGCTTGCCTCTGCCATCCAGAGAGCATTCGCCTCCGCCGGCCATGATACAAGCATCGCTCAGTGGAACGACATCTCCAAAGCACATGTGGAGGGCAAGTACTGTCTCTGTCTTGCTGAATGGGATGACGCTGTCCTCGCCAATCTTACCGATGACGACTGGGTCAGATTGCGCGAAGTCGTTCTCTCGTCCCAGGGTGCTTTGTGGATCACAGGTGGCGGTGCTCTTGACACGCCATCTCCCTTGAAGAGTCTGATGGTTGGGCTTGCCAGAGCCATTCGCAACGAAGACGCCGGCGTTCGCCTTGCCTGTCTCGATCTGGAGGCGTCATCGACCATTGACTTCGAGAGAGCGGCACAGAATACACTCAAGGTCGCTTATGAGCACATCCGCGGTGACGGCACCGAGGGTGAGTTCGCTGCGCGCGGTGACATGGTCTACGTGCCCCGCGTAGAGCGAACAATGGAAGTCGATGCTTCTCTGCGCAAGTATGAGGCCAAGGGTGATCCCGAAATGGTATCATTCAAAAGCTGTGGACGTCCTCTCAAGCTGAGCATCAAGACACCTGGTCTTCTCGATACATTCCAGTGGGAAGAAGACGAAACGTACCACACGCCATTGCCTGAGGACTGGATTGAGATTGAGGTCAAGGCCGTTGGTCTCAACTTCAAGGATGTGCTCGTAGCGCTGGGTAACCTGGCTGAGAACAAGCTGGGTGTCGATGCCTCGGGTATCGTCACTCGTGTCGGAGCGGCAGTCACAGACATCAACGTTGGCGACAAGGTCATGACTGCATCTTGCGATACCTTCGCCACCTATGTCCGCTTCCCAGCCAAGGGTGCCATACCCGTTCCCTCTGGCATGAGCTTCGAGGAAGCCGCCTCAATGCCACTCATCTTCCTCACAGCCTACTACGCGCTGGTGACGGCAGGTGGCATTGTCTCTGGCGAGAAGATCTTGATTCATGCCGCTGCTGGCGGTGTCGGACAAGCCGCCATCATGATCGCGCAAGCCAAAGGTGCCGAGATATTCGCTACGGTGGGTGCGGATGCGAAGAAACAGCTTCTCATGGAGCAATATGGAATCCCCGAAGACCACATCTTCAGCAGTCGCGACACTAGCTTTGTCAAGGGAGTGCTCCGTGCCACGGACGGCAAGGGTGTGGATCTGGTACTGAACTCGCTGGCTGGCGAGGCTCTTCGTCGATCTTGGACTGACTGCTTGGCCAAATTCGGTCGTTTCTTGGAGATCGGAAAGGCGGATCTCTTCGCCAACACCGGTCTTGACATGAAGCCCTTGTTGGACAACAAGAGCTATATCGGTGTCAACCTGCTGGACTTTGAGAACAATCCGACACCGCGAGCAGTAGCGCTATGGCATGACACGGCGAGGATGATCCATGAGGGGGCGATCAAGCCCATTGCGCCACTCCAGATCTTTACCATGGCCGAAGTCGAGAAGGCCTTCCGCCATATGCAGGCGGGAAAGCACATGGGCAAGGTGGTCGTTCGCGTCGACGATGCAGACTTGGTCCGTGCCGTACCTCGAATTCCACGCGTACGTGTCCAGTCTGACGCGACGTACGTGATTGCCGGCCTTGGTGGCATCACGCGTGAGATTGCGCGTTGGTTGGCAGAGAAGGGCGCAAAGTACCTGGTGTTCCTCTCTCGTTCTGCAGCCAGCGGCACAGACAACAAAGCATTCGCTGCGCAACTGCAGAAGACGTACAGCGTTACGCCGCTGGCATATGATTGCGACGTTGGCAACAAGGCCGCTCTGCAATCAGTCTTGGGTGACCTGAAGGCCAAGGGCTTGCCACCCATCAAGGGCTGTGCGACTGGCGCCATGGTCCTACAAGACTGCCTCTTCGACAAGATGACAGCCGACCATGTGCGCACAACAGTCGGTCCTAAGGTCCACGGTACCTGGAACCTGCACGAGCTACTGCCACGCGATATGGACTTCTTCGTTATGCTGTCTTCGCTAGCCGGTGTGATGGGCCATCGTGGACAGGGCAATTACGGCTGCGGCAACAACTTCCAAGACGAATTTGCTGCATTCCGGCGCAACCAGGGTCTACCGGCGATGACCATCGACATCGGCTATCTTCTGTCGGTAGGTTTCGTGGCCGAACATGACGAGTATGTCGACCACGTCAAGGCCATGGGGCTCAAAGTCATGCATACGTCGGATCTTCATGGTCTTCTAGCGACCGCCATCGAGGGCCCCTCTCAGCACCCTGGGCAAGTCATGTGCGGTCTGCCCTTCAATGAGCACGACGACGCCTGGTACTGGATGGCCGACGCGCGATTTGCTGCATTGCGCAACGTTGCAGCTGGTTCATCGTCCAAGGCTGGACAGACTATCTCGTTGCGCGAGGAGTTGACGCGATGCGGCACAGCGAATGAAGAGGCCGTGCAGCTCATCACGGCTGCCATAGTGCAGCGTCTTGCGAGCCTGATGATGATACCCGAGGCTGATATCGATGCCGGTAGGCCGCTGAGCGCGTATGGAGTTGATAGTCTGGTGGCTGTTGAGGTGAGAAATTGGGTTGCGCGTGAGATGTTGGTGGAGTGCTCCGTGTTCGATGTTCTGCAGAACATCCCGATGACACAACTGGCACAAAGCTTGGCAGAGAAGAGTAAGCTGCTCCTTGCACAGGCCTGAAGTTGTATGTACCTAGGTAGTATGAATCGTGACTGATTGCTATCGTATCGGCCTTCGCTCTTGACGTTCGTGATGCTGGCTGACAACGAAGCCCTGGAGGACGAAGCAGCCACGCAAGCGGCTTAGCCACATCTTCTGATTGGGCAATGGCTGATCATAACGTCATGGACTCGTGGAACCGTTTGGTCGTCACAAGCGCAGGGCCGCGGATTCGAGCTTGATTGATGTGTGAGCTACGATGATGCCTGATCATTCAATACAAGATGCATCCAACGGTACATAAGTTTACCTGCCGCTCCACCTGGCAGATCTACTTGCCCGGCTTCCTCTCCCGATAGACCAGTTGCGGCTATTGTCTTAGTTCATCGTCGGACTTTACTACCAACATGTCGGGCAACGTGGTCGATCCTGAGGCACGCGACAAGTACCTCCTGCAAGGTACGTTGCAATTGACTGGAATCATCTTACGAAATGCTGATGATCTTTAGTGACGGCCGGACCATCCTACGATGCCTCAAAGCACGAACAGGTATCAGTCAACGGCGCAGAGCCCACACACGTCGAGAGCGACCTAGTTGAAGCATGGATACGCGTCCGAATCAAAGACTACCACGGCCTACCGCGTGGTTCACCAGCTTCATCGTCTTATTTTGATCACCCACAACATACCTCTGATAGATATTCCATCGCCTACTCATTCGTTCCCAAGCAGGACATGTCCGGCTCCGATCTTGTCATGGGCTTCGATTACGGCCATTCGATCAAGCACCAGCTTCCACCAGGTTTCAGGTATGCAATGAAGATCGCCACGAGTATGCTGGACCCCGGACTTTACTCAGATGCATACTCTGACGAGCCGTATCTCTACGGACCCGCGCTATCAAGTTTCTTTGCCTTCCGAATCGGAGATCGGACGAGCGATGTGTCCGCACAAGATCAACTTGCAAGTCTCAGTCAAGAAAGTGATGATGTGATCGAAGAAGGTGCATCGGGGAGTGGCAAAGAAGCGCGCAAAGCGTCGTCCATGCCTTCGAAATGGAAGAAGCGGCGGAAGTATTATCTCGATGAACAAGCCCTTTCAGCGTTTACGTTCGAAAAAGGCCGCATGTACCATGCCGACTTCTTCAACCCACATCTTGACTTTGCGAACTTTTCGTTGAGGCTACCCGGATTCTCAATCAGTGTGGCCAAGTACGTGGATGAGAAGACGCATCATCTAAGATATGTACTTCGGAATCGGAAGACGGAGGAGGTACTTCTCGTAGTCTTCTTCAAATTGCTGTTTGGCAAGGAATTGGATGATACGTTGGAGAAAGAGAAGAGGAGGGAGAGTGCGCCGCCAGCTGTGGCTGTAATTGATCAGCCAAAGCCAGAGCGGACAGGCCACGATGAGCTGACGAGAGTACGTGCTGCTGAAGAAGCTGAAAGACGAGCTTCACAACCTCCTCCTCGGACGGGTCATGAGGAGTTGACAAAGGTTCGCGCTGCTGAGGAGGCCGAAAGACGAGCTTCGCAACCTGCACCTCGCACCGTACAAAACGATAACACGCCATCCTCTGCAAAATCTACCCGTCAAGAAGGTTCAGCGTCTGGAACAGCCGGTCAAGTCGATGGCGAGGCGCAAGAGGATCAGAGTTACATCGGCCAAGCAACGAGCGCTGCGACAAACCTTGCAAACTCCGTGGTGGCTGTTTACGCAGCCTTGGGCTTCGGCAACTCATCATCTTCCTCGTCGGATTCCGAGCCCTCAAGCAGGAGTAGTTCGGCGCAGCCAGCAAACAAGTCGATGGCAGCTGAGATCGACAAGATGGACGATGCAACGGTAGAGCAGTATTTGCGGGGTCGGCACGGAAGTGTGTGATATTCTCTCTATACGCATCGGTTCTTGGGCAATAGCTGGTTTAATTTTGTAGTAATCAACATCTCAATGCTGCGTAAGTCTGTCGTCTTGATCTAACTGGTTGAATTTGAAATGAGTAGCACGCTACCTTAGTGTAATTGAGGTCGACCGTGGATCCGGATATGGGAATTCTTTAGCACCGGAGGATTGTGATTGTAACTTTGTCCACGCCGTTTCACGGGCTATAGCCAACGCCACAACGCTACCGTATGCAGCGCAAGGGTTCCATGGATTTAAGTTCCGTATAGAGTGATGATTACGGATGACATGCGACTGGGTGATGTTTGGCGAACAGTCTTCTCGCATGTCATTAGTTACTACTCTATCAAAGAGAAGGCATGGCGACTGCTTCATCTGGGGCGCGAGCAATAAGCCCTACCAATGTATGCGACGCGTGCTCCAGAACCTTGGAAGAAGACATTCCCAGAAGGGTGGTGAAAGAGTGATTTGAACCGGAGAATACATTGCGCACGCCAGTCGGAACCCAGCCTAGCAAGCACGTGCGCGCTCGGCCCCGCAAGCATCTCGAAGCCGATGAAACTCCGACCTTGTCTCCTTGACACACGCACTGCACCACCCGCCATTCCAACGGCAACAATACACGCCCTCCCAACACGCGGGCGCACTCAACCAGCAAGTGCAGTCGGGCCTAAGCATTTGGATGCGCAAGGGCGTACCCTAGCCCATCGGCAACATGCCTCCACCTGACAGATCAGCGTCTCGGAAACTTGCAGTTCCATGGCACTAGTCACGTTTTGACTCTGGCCTTCGCCTGTTCCAGCAGCCCAAAGCACGTTGCTTTCGCGCAGACACTGTTGCGGTCAGGTACGTACCTGATTCACCCGGCGTCAGTCGTCCCGCTCAGCTGCGGGTATCTGTGTTCCAGTACTCGATACCCTTGCGGCGCCCTTTTAGTGGCGCGGATTCATGCGTTGCCGGTGTGTATAGACTACCTTTATGTAGCTGAAAAAAGTCCTTCATTACGCCAAATGGGCTGGCGCCTTTTGCTGTACTACCAACCTTTTCACATGATCAGCTTTTTGACCGTCTAGTGTTTGTCAAGTCGGCCCGGAGGTCAATCTCAGCAACCATGATAAGCACTTGTTTGGACCTTGCACTCTTGTGCCATCCGGTTCTTGCTTTCCTCTCGATACAACGACCAAAGATGGCGGCTCCGATTTCGAAATGGCAGTACTTTCTTCTCAGCTTTCTTTCGCTGCTCGCTATTCGCTATGCGAGTACTACGAACGCGAGTCCTCAGGTTCCCGTCATCCATGAAATCCAAGAATCTGTCGAGCAGGCTGTCTGCAAGACGGTTGACCAGCCAAATCCAATTGCGTCACAGTACCCAACAAATGCGACGGGAACGTTGAACGGCACAATCTCAGTCCTACCAATTTCCCTGGATCTCGCACGCAGTCTCATCCCCTCGCAATACCGCATCTTGGAGCACGCATACCGCCATCTTCTCCCAGACTTCCCGGAAGGAATGTACCCAGCCCTTCTCCAGGCAGTCCACGACCACGGCGTACAAGCTTTCGGCTTTCAAATACCCGACTTCTCGGTACGATAATGCGCCTAACCTTAGATCGTGATCCGCGGTAGTAGTGCTAACTTTGACTAGCGTGGTGGCATCGAATTCCCATTCCTCGATCTCCTCGGCGACAATGCCACGTCCTTCAAGTGGACCCCATCGCTGGTTATGTCGGCTGAAAACGTCATTGCGCTGAAAGGCGCTGCGGACTACGGAATCAAGACTTACCCGTCGTTATTCGAGCCTGCTTGCGATGCGTACAGCGCGGTTCCCGACGCTAAGGAGCCTGGAACGACGTCGTTCGAGGCGACGAGCGCTGAGGCTGGCGCCGCATCCATTAGCACGCGGCTGTCACTCACGTCGGAAGAGAAGTACCCGCTGGGTTTCTTCATGAACATCACCAACCAGGTCATGTTCGGCGACGGCAAGCAATGCGATAACATGATCCGTCTCTTCAACACCAGCTTGACGACGAGCCCTAACAAGATCGAGACCGTCAAGGGCTCCGTCAAGACCAAGGGTTTCCCATTTGAGAGCGAACAGGAGTTCGAGTGCGCGTATGGAATCAGGTTCAGCTCGGCGTTCATCGAGAACAACTATCTGCCCTGCGAGAACTTCAGGAACTACGGCACTGCATAGATGGTGATGGGGAGATTAGCAGATGTAGATTGCGTCTTTTTTCTTGGCGCGAATACATGCTCGGGAGAGAGCACAGCATGTTGGGCGAATGCCCGCAAATAACGATACCCATTAAGCCACGGTGGCTAGCGAATACCCCCTTGGACTGTATATAGAATTCTAGAGGAATGCATTGGTGTATATACATATCGTTTGTCTTGTCCAATCGTCGACTTATCCGTCGTGGATAAACGAAACCCCAATTCGACATACTAATTGATCGAGCTGAGCGAGCCACATACATGAGAAGAGGCCAGAATCGAGCTGACTAAGATCATGACAACGAGCATGCAGAGATATGTCGAGATCTGCGAATTTCTCATGCGGAGAATGCGGCTGACCATATAGCAATTGGGTATATTCGATGCTTCTACGACTTACCTCAAAATGTGTACAGGCCGGAAGGTCGGGCTTATGGTGTGAGTTTACGAAACCAATAAGCGGTTCACATCAGACATGTCATGACCAGGGCCAAATGTTGCGTATCACATTGCAGAAACATAACCCAAAAAGCGCAACTCACCTGCGACAATGTATAACAGGCGGGAAAATCCCATCTCCTCCAACTGGCCAGCGATCGCACAGAAATCCCTTGACGGTGGTTAGAAGCATGTCAGGTGCATGTTGGAGAAAAGCGTACATGTTCTGATTGGACTGTCTCAAGCTCATACGCCGGAAAGGGCCTCCATAGTCGCCATTTGTTGTACAAGTACCGCCGAGTCGCGGTAGTCTTCGCATCAATACTGCTGTAAGCCGAACCTTTTGGGAATCGCATAGACACACCTTAACGCCAAATTCCGGGGATATTTACCAAGCGCCTCTTCTGCCTCCGCGACGACCGCCTCGTCCACCACGGAAGCCACCGCCACCGTATCCACCACCTCCTCCTCCCCAACCTCCACCGCCGCCTCGGTCCATGTCGCCGCCGGAGGGAGCGTAGGAATTGCGGGGTGGCTGGCGGTCCTTGAGCTCCTTGGTCAGGGCTTCGTAGGACTTGCGCATTTGAGCGTAGCCGAGATGCATCTTTCCGTAGAAGTGGTCTGCTAGACGCCGATCATTGTCAAGACGGCTGAGATACGCACCACATACGTCGCACACTTGAAGCTTCTGGTGACCAGACGGACCTCCGGTGTCTGACAGAGCACGCAGCTCCCTCTCGCGCTCCTCCTTCTCGGCTTTCTTGTAACGGACCTTGGTGAACTCTTGGACGGCCATGTTGACCATGCCTTCCTCGCCCATGATTTGGATCTCGAGCATACCGGCGTCGATCGATTTGGTCAGTTCGTTGATCGCTTTGAGCTGTCGCGCGTGAGCAGATAGTGCAGGTCCCCTGGCCGGGATACTTACAAGAGCGTTGGTCTGCCTGATCTCTTCAGGCGTCTTCTCCAGGCGGCGCTGAGCAGTGTCTATCTTGCGATTACAGCTGTCAATGTGATGCTGCATGTCGCGCATGTAGTCAAACTCGAATCCCCACTTGCGCTTCTGTTCCGCATCTGCCTCCTGGTACTCGGTCCGCAGCGCCTCGTTGTGCACCTTGGAACAGGGGCCCAGTTCGTTCTTGGTGTTGGTGAAGAGGTCGTGGGGGCAGTTGCCTACGAGGTAGGAGCGACAGACCTTGGTGTCGTTGATGTTTAGCTGGGGCGCGCGCTGGTCGGTTCCGCTCATGAGCTGTTCGCCCATAAGCTGCTCTGTGTCGCGTTAGCATGGTGTCGTATTAGTAATACTGATTTGAGAGAACCTACCAAGCAGCCTGCGCGTCTCTGCGGCGGCCATGATGTGTATTTATTAGGGATGCGCGGTTGGGTCGTGATGTGGAGAGCTGCAAGGTGAGTGACGGCCAAAAGAAATCGCGACCGCGGCAGTGCCAAGTATCCACGCCGGGTGACCAATCACCGGTGGGGCGCCTTCACTCCACATGTCCGCCGCAACCCCAACATCAAGGGCCTGTCGTCAGTCTTCCCGCTCACATTTCGCGTAGAGAGCGCTACGATGCTGCGATGCTCTCGTCTTTTTACTTTGTGTTGCTCAATGCCTTGATTGCATTCGTCTCCGCGGGCGCCGACTACAGCGAGCGCCTCCTCCTGCGACCCCTTCCCCAGAACACCCTTCTGGCCTCTTTCAACTTTCGGAGCAACGAAAGCGCCACTGCATTCGAACAGCAGAACTTCCGATACTTCCCGCGATCTTTTGGACAGATTTTGCAACATGCGCATACGAGGGAATTGCATTTGAGGTTCAGTGTTGGGAGATGGGATGCTGAGAACTGGGGACAGCGGCCATGGAACGGTGCAAGAGAAGGAGGGACCGGTGTCGAGCTGTGGGCCTGGGTAGAGGCTGATACTGAGGAGGAGTACGTTCTCTATGGATGACAGGAAGGATTCACGCTGATCATAGCAGAGCATTTGCACGATGGCTGAAGCTTACCAACGCTCTATCAGGCCTCTTTTGTGCCTCGATCAACTTCATCGATGCCACCAAGACCATACGGCCCGTCATGTCATTTGACCCCGAAGGCCAGCACCGTAACTCGTCCAACCTTCACCTCCTCCACGGCACGCTACCCCATGAAGTCGTTTGCACGGAGAACCTTACTCCTTTTCTCAAATTACTACCCTGTAAGGGTAAGGCCGGTGTATCCAGCTTACTGGACGGACACAAGTTATTTGACGCTTCGTTCCAAACCATGGCCATCGATGTGCGCCCAACATGTGAGGAGGGTAGCTCCAGCTGCTCAATAGAGATGGAGCAAAGCGTAGACATGGTCTTGGACATTGCGCGAGCCAAGCGACCCAGAGACAACCCTATCCCGCGACCTCTACCAATCAACCAGATGGAATGCGATACCTCCAAGCCATACAACGGGCACGATACCTGCTATCCCCTGAACAAGGGCACCGAGCCCGCCTGGACACTGGAGGAGGTATTTGGAAGACCGCTCAGGGGAGCCTGCCCACTCGCAGATCAGGCTGAGGGAGAAGCGAATAACGTTTGCATCAACTTGCCGCCGGAGCGCGAACTCCAGGTTAAGACCACAGGAGAATTCACCGAATCAAGACTAGCATCAGACACCCTCCGATGCTACAAGCTCCCCATCGGCGAAGACCTCGATCTCGTCCTACCCGAACAGAAGATGAAAACCGGTCTTGTCCGTCCCGATCCTCTAGTCTTCGCAGCACGATCCATCAACGGTCACGGCCAGGAACGCGGTAGTACACAGTCCGTCATCAAGAACCCGTCTACCACCAACGCAGTCGAGATAGTATACCTAGAGTCTCTGCCCTGGTTCATGAAGCCATACCTGCACACCCTCCAAGCCCACGTCGACACCACAGACGAAAGCCCCATCAAAGAAACCTACTACCGCCCAGCCGTCGACCGTAAGCGCGGCACCCACCTCGAGCTACGCATGGTCATCCCACCAGCCTCCACTCTCACACTCACTTACGACTTCGAGAAAGCGATTTTGCGCTACACGGAATACCCGCCAGATGCGAATCGAGGCTTCGACGTCGCACCTGCTGTTATCCGTATTCTTTCGCCGCAGTCAGGAGATAACAAGGGTATCTACGTTCGCACTACTTCGCTGCTTCTTCCTCTTCCGACGCCCGACTTCAGCATGCCATATAACGTTATTATTTTGACGAGTACGGTTATGGCGTTGGGCTTTGGCAATATTTTTAACTTGCTTGTGAGGCGCTTTGTGGGTGTGGATGAAGTGCCTACTATGGGCGCTGGAGGATTGAAGGGTATTATTATCGGGAAGATAGCTAGACTTAAGGGCCTGTTGGGGATGGGTTAAGAGTTGGTAATTCATGAAATTCTTCAACGATTTACGCGCTGCTGTCGCGCGTGTATGTGACTTCAGTCTGCATAAAGATCAAGCTGTTAACACTCAACGAAGCACATCAATTACGTCAACGTCATCAGGTACATCAAGCGGACACGTAGCTGGGGCCAGGCTGAAAGCCCGCAAGGTTGACATCGTCGCAAGGCTGGGCTGATCCCCGCATTGCCGACCCCAATGAGTGGACGCCATCTGCGGCAGGCGCACTGCTGCGCTGCGCCTTCTTGCAAAGTCTTATCATCTGCCCACTTTCCAGCCTTTCGCTCCGTCGCTCCTTCCATTACTGTGTACGCCCGCCATGGCCGAAGTGGCCGGCACCATTGTTGGTGTCATATCGCTTTCCCTCCAGTTGTACGACAAACTCTCCGAGTACACCAACGGCGTCAAAGACGCGAAAAAGAAGGCTGGACAGATTACCCGCGAACTGGACACACTGGTGGATCTACTCGAGTATCTGGAGACCGCTACTAGCAGGATGGACCCTACGACACCTATCGCGTTAGTTAAAGCTATCATACAGCAATGCGCGCTCTCCATAGAGTCGATTAGGACGAAAGTCGGAGATGATCCTCCTTCGACGAATTCCAGCAGATTATCGACCCAGTCGCGAAGATTGATTAAGAGGCTGGCATATCCGTTCAAAGAAAGCGATATCAAGTACTGGAGAGACGCTTTGAGCAGTATTCGACAGAATTTGCAGATTGCTTTACAGGCGTTAGAAATGTAATTGCTGCATCTGTGTGTGAGCGATGTGTCAGCTAACAGCTCCTAGGGATCAGTGGCAACGGAACTTCGCGACTGTGCAGGGACAGCTCGGTCAACTGTCGCTGAATACACAGATGATACTCGATCAGCAGCGACGCACTCAGACTTCGCCTAATGGTAATTTAATCGACCACAGCTGGAGCACATGCGCAGAGTTAGCCACCAGTGAACGACGTTCAAACTTCATACAGCCCTTCGTCGGCCAGCATGATCATATATCTGCCCAGGAACCTCCGATCGGAGTCAACTTCCCGAGTCCACCCGCAACATGGCGACAAAACGATATCAGCGACGCACTATTGCCAATATCTGCAGTTAGTCTGGAACAGGAGACCACTAATATTCAACATCTCGAGCGGAGAACACGAAATGTGCGATCCCAATTGATGAAGAGCTCGTATGCTTCCAGATCTTGCAACTGCCGCGAGTTTCACCACAAGAAACAATTCGTGCGGTCACCGTTCGTCATGTCGCGAATCGAATCGCAATTTCATGATCCAAGCTGCCAATTCTGGGTCTCTGAGAATCACGAAATGACGTTGAGCTTTGGCATGGTACTGTGCTGCTTGATATTTGGCCTCAAGATCCGTCTTTTCATGAAGATATCGATTGGAAGTGGCACATTCTCGATCATGCCAAACCTACTGTGCCATCGGATTGTTACGAAGTCCTCCCCAGCGTTCGCGCTGATTCATTCCATGGTCGATGCCTCCACTTCCACAAGAGAACCTCTGGATTTTGCCAGAAAGTTGACCCAGCTGTTCCAGGGGCGCGAGGCGTCACCGCATGATCGCTTAGAGGATGGGTCCACACTTTTACACGTGAGTTTTCGCTGACACCTTCTTGATAGCCAGAGCCTCGCTTAAAATGGAATCAGGCACTCTGTAAAGCCATCGGTTTTGTTTACGATCCTGTAAACCAAAGCAATGTTGAGACTTTTCGCTCTGCACTGAAGCAGCTTCTTGGCTACATGACTTATGCAAATGCATCAGACACCAACGCTTCTGGAAGGTAAACAAAATTGAACTTGGTTAGCCAGATAGTCACTAATTATTGGCACCAGTACATGTATAGACAGCCTTTTGTTGGGCTTGAGGGACAGGAGATCAAAGAGTTTCGGACTGGTAGCCATTATATTGGATCTCTTGCGACACGACCTAAAGATGTCTTTAGCAGTTAAGTATGCTCGAAGCGAAAGCTTTTGGGTTGAACTCTCCTTTACAGAGTTCCCAGATCCCTTTGTCGATCTTAGCACCACTAGGGTCGCAGCATTATCACGATCCGAAGTGGATTTCGGCAATGCGATACGGGAAAACCAGGCCGACGACAAGTCGCCAAAGGAAGGAGCGTTTAACTTATACCAGTTGACCACTCGTATGGGATGGGCGCCTGGCTGCCAAATACTCCTCAACGCCGGGCTCAGCTATTTGCCAGATCGGCCTCGCTCGCCATCGCTTCTCGTCACGGCGATGCACTCATTGAGTGAATCTATGTTGAATTTTTGGCTTGATCTGCGCGAACATGCTGATGCGGAATCTTGCAGAATTATTGGGAGCCTGGAATTCGCCGTTGTATACGCATTGAAGGCTTCTAAAGTAAGCCTAGCAGGAATTATCGCTTCGCGTCTTGTTAGACAAAGGCAGGAGTTACGACGTCTAACAGGATCATCGGGCATCTACTGCGAATGCGTCAGGAAATCAGAAGGCTTGCTTGACTTTCACGCCACTTGCGCCTTGCGTGTAATGGACAAACAGGGCTTTAGCGTGCCACCCTCCCTTCGGCCGAGTGAGAAGAGCGTATACAATGTCGATCTGATTCACAGTATGAACCTCCGCGCCTCGTCCAAATTCGAAACGATGACTACGCCAAAGGTCCTCCAGTTCCTGTACGACATCGGCTTCAGGGATATTTCGGAAGGGGACTTCGAATGCTGCCAGAATGTGTTTTGCTCGGCGTTACACCTCGCAGTAGCAAAGCACGATAATCATTCTCCCGATACACTATCTGAGATGTACGAAATCGCAGATTGGTTCGTTGGCAAAGGGGCAAGCATTTCCGATTGCTGGCCGGAGTGTAAGACCACCGCGATACATTGTATCAACGCAAAGGCAGCCATGATAGTCTCTGGGAGGTTGAGGCGGGTCCACAGATGGCCACATGGGTCTTGGAACGGAATCGCACCTAGGTTTCAGTATACGCTCACGGACGATTGCAAATGCAGATGTGGTACACAAGGATGTACCGGAGTTACATCTTTTTTCAACAATGCCTCGTCCTGGTTCGGTAAGAAAGACATTTTGACACTGATGGGTCCAGGCTTCGTCTTCAAAAATCAACGTCGACGCAGGCAAGCCTGATGGCTATTTACACGTATTGTACAACTGGTCTCAACAGCAACCGAGGATACGGAGCATAGATGGATCATCACCGAATTTATCCGACTGTGTGTCTTTGCCTGGTTAGGCATTCGACACACCTGTTGCAACCTCTACAGAATCATGCACCCTTGGTGCGCACACGACTTTTCACGTCCGCCTCCACCGCGATATCCTCCAGATGAACTTGAACGCATACAAGAAGAAGATGCGACTCTCGTTAGTCTGTTGGAAGATCTGGTACCTCGCTTCGATGTACGGTACGATACCCATGAAGGCGGCCTTCAATGTTTTGTCGAAAATGTCCTAAGATCGGAGATGGAGGTCCTGCTGAACCGATTGAAGCATGAAGATGAAGCGACTCATGCTGCGGGTAGACGGGTGTTAGGCGTTATCATGATCGAGGAATGCAAGAGCAATCTGGACGACATAAACGAGGATGATTCCTATGAGGAGGAGTCTGAGGACGATTCGCTTGACGAAAGCGAAAGTGATTCGCTTGACGAGCACGAGGTCGACGCATATGAATACTACTGAAGATGGGGGAAACATCACTGTGAATGGGTTTCAGAGTGGCGTCTGGTCACTTGGCGTCACTATTATCTTAGCAAGTAGTGTCTAAGCTAACGCATGCTTCTAGCCAGACAAGATTACTATATTCTTTTTTTCCTTAGAATGCGCGACACGAACAGTCGCTGCCCCTAGTGCTGCCAGCATCCAACCCTGCGCAAATACTTTCCTCGTCTGATATCGCTGATAAGAGAACCTTAGGAAATTCTTGGATGGTAACGAGACCAAGTACACGACAGACGAATTCGAGAGCAGCTTGATCCCTTTGATGAGCGATGCTGTAGACGAGCGCGAACACGGTGGTTGTACTTGCCTTTCACGCTCGTTGTATACACCATGTCATATTCTTTAGTTTGTCAATGTAGAACGTTGCGCGAATTTCGGGCAATTGCATAGCCGAGGGCACTATGTCTTTACACGCCTGAACATCTAACAGAGCAAGTAGACAAACAAATCTCATTACAAAATGATACAAGCCTACAATTCAGACCATCATACCAGCTCACAGCTACAAAGGGGTATATCCACTACAAGAAAGAAGACAAGCATCGCTCACGCACAACGGCAACCACAACCACGCTCACCACATCTAGTGGAAAAGATCCTGAGCCGCCACAGCAGTCGCCTGCGCCTTAGCAGCCTCATTCGCCGCCGCCATAGCAGCAGAAAGATCATTATCAACCTTCTGCTGCGAAGAACTTCCAGGCCGGTTATTATCGCCCGTTCCTTCCCGTTCTCCTACTGCGGCAGCAGCGAGATGTTGCAGGCCGGCCATGTTGGGTTCTAGCGCGGGGCTGGCTTGCTCAGGACCCGTGTAAGGGGGAGTGGAAGACTTCTTCTTGTGGAGTAGGTCGCCGATTGCGGTTTCCCAGCCTAGACCGTCGGAACTGCGGTGGATGATTTGGCCGTTTGATAAAGCGTCGCTCATCTCTTTGATGGTTGCGCTTGCTTCTGCTTTTAGTTCGCCTCGGTCGTTTAGTTCAGTGAGGGATGTAGCGACTAGAGCGGCGAAGATGTGGTGCAAGGGAGTGATCGCGCCGCTCATCAGGTTGCCGAGCAGGTCTTTGGTGACTTCGAGGACCTCGGCTGAAGGCAAATTCTGGCCTGAAAGTCGCGCGATGAAGACTCTGAGATACTGGTGCGCCAGATGAGGGGGAGAGTTACTCGTCAAGGTAGTCAGGTCGATGGACTGCTTGATCTCATCTAGTGCTCCGTTGAGGTACTCGGACTCCGTGGTTCCGGGTTTGAGCGCGGAAAAGGCGAAAGGAGCTGCTGGGTCGACATTTGGGATGCTTCCTGCGCGATTGACGTAGGCTATGCGGCCAACGAGTAGGGCAACACCTGATGAAGATTAGTCTTGGATAGGTGTCAATTGGAATGAGTTTGCACTTACGAGCGAGATAATAAGCGACTTCACCCAGAGCTGAGTAGTCATCTCGCGAAAGTGTTCCTGAGTATCTTCGAATCATCATGTCCGTCGATTGACTAGACGCGTGGAAACGGTCTATGATCAACGCAGTCCAATATACGCGGCGAGCTGTCTGATACACTTCGAGATCTTGTTCTTTCAGTCCAGCCAATGTTCTGGCATCATTTATTCCGACATCTGCAATACATGCTGAGATACGGGCCAGCAGTCCAGTAGTACTGCCTATGATGCTTGGGCCAGGCCTGTCAGATGCTGCAGCAAGCAGGATCAGTGACTGGCAGTACACCAGGTGGTTGTAGAGCCGTCGTGAGCTATCCGTGTCATGAAGACAATAGTTCGCCGCGTCGACTGAAGTAAAGCACTGTTGTAACAGCTGATTAAGACTGATATCGATAGGTGGCAGGGCCTTCGAGGCGATGGACCGGATACAGCCTTCTAGTACGAGGAAGAACGTCTCTCGCAACTTCGACGGACAGTTTGTAAGGCGGTTCAGTTGTGACTCGTGATGAGGTAAGACAGGCAGTGTGGGATGAATAATGTTGTAATACCTGAGATATGGTTTAGTGTCTGGCAAACTTCACATGTGCG